AGGTTTAACACTGTAAAAACGTTTAATTGTGAGCAGCACCAACCTTTTCAAATCCTTGAAGAGACTAAAGAGATTAGACTCATTAGAAGGGGCAAAATTCAAACTTTTTTGTAAGAGATACATTTCATCATCATTATGTTGTCTAGAGGATATATTATATTATAGTGGTATAATAATCACATGCAGATGAGTTGTCATCTTTGGTGGCAGTGGCAGAACTACCGCCGGTGCAGGCGGTGCGGGCGCACCAGGGCCTCGGGCCTGTGGGGGGCCCAGCACAGTCCCAGTGCCGGATCGGTACCCAGCGGCCAGCGGGCCCCCCATCTCTGCGCCGAGAGTGTCGGATCATCCGTTCATCCGACACTCCCGGACAGTGAGGACCCAGCAAACAGAAAACACATAGGAAACAGATGAAGACAGAAGACCAGCCAGAAGAGGTAAGGGTAAATAATTCATTAAAATAATTATTATTTGTAGCCTAATGTTTTTTAAAGTACTGTTGCAGCAATGCACAATTGGACCCTCTATAGAGGACTACAAATCTCAGCAGTACTTTATACAAAAATGCTATTGTTATATAAAGTATTGTTGGGATGTGTAGTCCTCTATAGCCTGTGCCATTCTGCATTGCTGTAAATATCAGGGTTGCACCAATATATCAGCCGCCAAAAGATATCTGCCGGAAATGGCACTTTTGGCTAAATGCCAAAAGTGCAATTTTTCTGCTGATATAGCAGCGCATCCGTGCTTTCTTTCCTCCCCGCTGGGCGCTGCTCTGTGTCCCAGCGGGGAGGAGAGAAAGTGACAGCCGGCCGAGCGCTGCAGGAGGAGAGCGCTGTGCTTGTGTTTTTTTTGGGGGGGGGGGGGGCAAAAAAAAATCTTGCACCAGGGCCCTTTGTTCCTTAGGTCCGCCACTGTTTGGTGGGGTCTGCCTTCCCCTTTTGTTCCCTATTTTTACAGCCACATCTACACCCTGTTGTTGCTGGGGGAGTTCCTAAAAAAAGAGGAGCAGCAGGGATGGAGGAAGTTGTCCCATCTCCTAAAATTAGAGATTGTTTCGGTCAGGCACCTTTATTCATAAAAGAACAATGTGCATGGCCCTCTACTTCCTGTTCAGCCACAGATCTTGCCTAATGTTGGTAATCTTCCAAATGATGATCAGTACTGCACTGACATCGATACTCCAATGGTCTGTTACTCTTCAGAACAGTTTGAACAGGGGTTTGGTCATTGGAGAAGAGTTTTTTTCCTCAGATCTACCATGCCCATAAAACTACTAACACGTTTGTTCCTCAAAATAGAGGTCTTTCTAGACGAAGTAGGGGGCACCTTAAAAAGTTGTTTGAATAAATGTAGTAGAGAGGTACCGTAGTTCCATTAGAAAGGCTGACGAAGGGGATCTCCTCTCCGAAATGCGTTAATGGATTTTGACATGGTTGGCAGTCATTGTGGCCAGAGAAAGCCAGTGGTGGTGTGCAAGTCCCCTGTTAGGAGGCGTCATTGGTGATTGTGGAGCTTACACCAGCGTGCTGCTGAGCTTGTACACAAGCTTGTGGCCAGGGCTGGACTTTTACCCCTCTCCTTCCCCCGAACTGCTGATCATTTGTTTCTTCTTGCTGTTACCTTTGTAAGTGAACAATTTACAAATTGATACTTTTTATTAAACATTGTTTACCAAAACTACATTATATGAGTTCTCCTGCGCTGCTCTCTGTGTTTATTTTCCTTTTTTTAGTGTCACATGTGATTATACAATCTTTGTATAACCAACCAGGTACACCCTCAAACAGTAAATTGTACAATCAGATGGTAAGATGTGCGGCCAGGTTAATTGCAGTGTGCAGTAACCCACCGTAACCTGTCAAAACTCACTTTTACTAAAAGCAGACCAGGACAATATAGACTCTCAATGAATGATTTTGGTACTACACTGCATTTAGGTCCATTCACACTTACACATTTTAGCACGTGTGTTTAAACTTTTAATGTATGTAGTCAAGTTAGCCATTGTTTTCCATGGGTCATGTTCACATGTATTGCTTGTGTTGGTGTGTGTTGTATTATAAAGTTCTTGCACCTTTTTTAGCCTGTCAAGGGGCCACAGGAGCAATCTTACATACATTGTCATGCACTGTTAATTCATGAATCAGTCTTCGACTGAGTTTACACAAGCTGCAAAAGGGCGATAAAAACAGAAGGCTGATCGTGTTTTTACCAGCCCCTGATCGTCTACCTACACATTAACATGGTGGACAGAGGGGCTTATACACATTCCTGCAGCACGTTAATTTTAAATCAGCATGTTATGTTTGGCAGGCAGTACTGCTTGCCAAACGTGCCCATTGAAGTCAATGGGACCTTGCCGCAACCACATACCAAACAAGGTATTTCACTAAAAAGTCCCCCATGAGAAAGAAACAAAAAACAGACACTCAGGAGGCAGCAGTATTACCTCCTAAATAATAGCAAAACACTGCTCAACCATTGAACTACAGTGGATCACTTTTCAGAGGGGTTGGTAAAGTCCATTGCCTGTGTTTGCTCCATGTACTGTCTTAGACCCCATTTACATGGGCGCCTGTCATTTCTGATCAGCATATCCTTGCGCAGATCCCCTGCTGACTGGAGGAGTACGAAACGGATGTCACCATTGTGACATCCATGTCCATCCAGTTGTTTTCCTCCATCTCGAGAAAAAAAACGGAACTTACCGGACCCGTGTTAGGTCAATGGGGAGTTGGGACGTCAGGAATTCTGTCCCGTTTGGGTTTGTGGACCTGGACGGAGTCAGGGGTAATCGGATGTAAATGGACGCACATCCATTTAGTTCCGGCTGCCCATAGAGTAACATCGACTTCCGATCAGATCTGCCTGAAAAACTGAAAGGCAGACTTGATCGGACCGCCCATCTGAAAGAGGCCTTACTGAAAAAGCTTTAATATCTCAGCAAAGCGTTTAAAAATAAAATAAAATACATGAACAGTTATTTCTATTCTATTTTATTTTTTACCTAGTGAACTTCCAGATACAGCAATCTACTTATTTGCAAAGTTGGAGATTGTAGGAAAGTGAACAATGGATTCTGCATCCTGAAACAAACACACCACTTCTTATCACAACAGCATTCAGGCAGCGAGTCATTACACAGTCAATATCATTGGTGTAAAAAACTGAGTTAGAAGTCTCATGACTGTTGTTGCTGGACACATCCCACACAGATGTACGAAGCAAGTTTTTTGATACTTGCAGAGTAAGCATAAAGGGAAACCGTATGTGCAGAACAAAGCCTACAATGGTGGACAATCAAAGATGAGACCCCTGAATGCCACATCACCACTATCTGCAAAAAACAATACTAACCATTCTTAACATTCATTCCATGATGTTGTATACATTTAATGCATAAACTAAAAATCTATATACATGACAGATCCAATGGAGGTGTATAAATGCGGGATATGTTAGATGTATAGTGGAACTTGTGGTTCCAGAAAAGTAATATGAACTATCTATATTCAGGATTCATCTACCCATATGTATGGTGGGTAATAGTAGACAAATGTTGGTGGTCTGGCTTTTGTTGACCTACAAGTGCCAGTGCATTCTTCCAGTGTCCAACTGTCACTGCACACTGGGATTTGTAGTTCCACAATTGCTGAACAGTACATTAAAACACACCACAACAACCCAAATGACACATTACACTTCATTCATAGTGCAAAAAGATCAGCAATTTTTCAAAAGTTAGTGTCACTGGAGGATGTCGGTCACTGCACTCCATGTGAAGTGGCCCAACACTATTACTATTACTACTACTGCAATCAGGAGTGCACAATCCATGTATGCCTGGAGTGCGCAGCACGTATGCCCCTATGTCTGTATTTGCTTCCAGGGGAACGATTCCTTAAAGTGCATGTTTTTAAACACAAAATACATTACAGAATGTTTAAAAAAAAAAATCTTTGATCCATGTTCTAAAGATCTGGTGCCTGTCAAACCATCTCTGATGTGTCATTTACCCCCAAATCTATTTACAATTCCTGCTGGTATTTGTAAAAAATTCTTTATTAACAAGAAACATAAAAATGAAACATGGTCAAAGTACATTGGTGCAGCAAAAATGACCAGCTGACATCTTACGTAGTCAAATATATGACAACAAATAACAAAAAAGAACACAATGAAAAGTCAATATGAGCAAAAGCAGAATGTTACTTGTAGCCTTGCTGGTATTTTCTACAAAGATAAGGCTTACCATTTATTGATTCGACTTCAATGAACAGATCTGTCCCTAGGAATCCCATCTGAAGTGGTTTGGGGGTAAAGCTCCTCTAATTGAAAATCTCAGGTGCATTAACGTAAAAGCAAAGTCATTTTTTTTTGTCAATCGGCAGGCTTTTGATGGCAGAATAGACTGTGAAAAGCTGGCCATGCAGTGTCAATTTCGGCAGGTTCTTGATGACCCTTTCGCCCGCCGTCAGAATACAATGAAGACAGCGGGAGATTTCTCAATAAACACTCATAATTGATTATGGAGGAATCTGTTCTATTTTACTTGTTCATCCCACTGGCTGAATAAATACAATATTACAGGGTATTGGCAGTTTAAGTCTCTTCTGCCATAAAAGCTTCTTTCTACCTTTCTGCCCTTTTTTCAATTTCTATACGCTGAGCTGCGCATGTGTAGCTTAGTGCACAGACCTGGCATACTGAGATGAAGTAAGAGAGTTAGTAGTTGCTTCATGTCGACTGGCCAATCAAGACACCAAACCCAAAAGAGAGTTGAGCCAAACCGAGCCAAAGATGGAAGTGCCGGAGGAGGATCACGGCGCTGGAGGGCACTGCTTTTTCAGGTAAGAATGCCCTGGTGTCGCATACAAGCACATTATGGCTTAGAGCTCCTGGGTTTTGGCTTTTTTATAAAGTTACTTTGCTACTGCTTTAAAATATGACTGCGTTACACAAATGTTGTATGTGGCTTGTATAGTGATTGCCCTTACCGCTAGCCTTTGGCTCCTGTGTGCTTGCTGTCTCCAGGTCATCTATAAAGTGTACTCCTGGGAAGCTGCACCCAGTCCTCTCCAGCTCTCTGCCACCTCCTTATATTTCTTGAATGAACTCGATCAGGGAGGACAGGCGAGGGACCAGGGAGGGAGGGCGGCTGTGGGTATAAACAAAGCATTAGTACAAGTTGGAGCTCACCTTCTTGTAGCACGCTGGCTTCTTCTCAGTCCCTTCTTCTATCTCTTCTTTTCCATCACAGTGACTCTTCCTGTGTGCTTTGCTCCTTGTCCTCCCCTATCAGTCAGTTTATTCCTGTCATTCTTCCCACTGGCCCTAAGTTATCCCCCCCCTCTGCTCCGCCAGCACTTTCCACTTCCTCTGCAGCCTGCCTTCTGCTGTGTAATGTTTTTCTGCTCATACTTGTCCCTGGCGTGCAACAGGGCTGTCCTTACTTTCTACATAGCTCTGCAGATGGAGATCACTATCATTAATAAAGAACACAAAACCCTTTACAGCTGATGAGTTACGATTGTAAAGACTGGAAAAAGAAATTGTATAATAACTTGGAGTCAATAAAGCACAAGATGTTATGCTTTTTTTTTAAGTAGAACTGAAGACAAAACTTTTTTTTTTTTTTTTAGTTTTGAAAAGAGTAAGGGGGGGAGGGGGGGGGGTATTTAAAATTAAATTACTTATGTATTTATTATTATTATTATTTATTCTAGCCACTAGAATTAATTTACATCTGCATGCCTATACACACCCATTTATACATTGCGTAATTCACGTTCGTATGCTCGTAATATGAGTGTGAATCATGACAGGTTTGGGGCATTTTTTTAATGTCCTTAAACTCTGTTTTAGATTATTCATCCAACCTCCACAATGTGCATAAACACATTGGGAGGAATTTATTCCTCCCAATGTGTTTATTCCTCCCATGGCAACCAATAAGGTCCTCTCTTCAGTTTGTTCAATTAAGCTATGAAAATAAAAGAAAGTACCATAGTGCTGTACAGAGAACACTGAGTCAGTCACATCACTCTCTGTACAGAGGAACCTACCCTCCAATGCAGAATGGTACTGGCTGTAGAAGGACTACAAATCCCAGCAATCCATTATACAGCAATGCAGAATAGTATATGAATTTGATGTATACTCTGTGCTGGTCCAGGGTGCCGATCTGATATCTCGGGCGGAGGATCTCACCAGGAGCAGATGCGGAGGATCTCACCAGGGGCAGATACGGAGGATCTCACCAGGGGCAGATGCAGAGGGTCTTAGAAGGGGCAAATTTGGAGGGTCTCAGCAGAGGCAGATCCAGAGGATCTCACCAGGGACAAATGTTAACGGTTTCACTAGGGCAGCAGGGACAGATGCGGAGGGTCTCACCAGGGGCAGATGCGGAGGATCTCACCAGGAGCAGATGCAGAATGTGGAGGGTCTCAGCAGAGGCAGATCCAGAGGATCTCACCAGGGACAAATGTTAACGGTTTCACTAGGGCAGCAGGGACAGATGCGGAGGGTCTCACCAGGGGCAGATGCGGAGGATCTCACCAGGGGCAGATGCAGAGGGTCTTAGAATGGGCAAATGTGGAGGGTCTCAGCAGAGGCAGATGCAGAGGATCTCACCGGGGACAAATGGTGAGGATTTCAATAGGGCAGCAGGGACAGATGCGGAGGGTCTCACCAGGTCAGAAGGGGCAGATGCAGAAGGTCGCACTAGGGCAGCAGGGACAGATGTTCTGGGTCTCACCAGGGCAGTGGGGACAGATGCGGAGGGTCTCACCAGGTCAGCAAGGACAGATGTGGAGGGTCTCAACAGGGCCGCAGGGGCAGATGCGGAGGGTCTCACCAGAGCAGCAGGGGCAGATGTGAAGGGTCTCATCGGGACGGTGGACAAGCTGTGCGAGTAGTGGAGAGCTGTGCAGGCTGTTGGAAAGCAGTGCAGGCTGGTGGAGAGCTGTATGACGTGCAGGCTAGTGGAAAGCTGTGTGATGTGCGAGCTGGCGCTGTAAACGGGCACTGCTGTGGTTCTCCGGAAGGTTGCCGTAAGGTCCCCAGCAAGCGTGGAACCTCATGGCAGTCAAATCAATTAAAAAACTTAAAGCCCCATGCCACCTCCAATGGGGGGCCCAGAACCCCGGGCTCAGTGAACCCCCCCAGCCTTCGCCACTGGGGGAGCCACACTGGCTGCACCAGCAGTAGGTCTGCCCCTGGATGCATCAGTCTCTGGGAGTCATGCCTAGGGCTGTGAGAATCTTGCAATGCTCCTGGAATTTGTAGTTCCACAACAGCTGGAAAGCCGAATTTTGCTCACCCCTGTAATAGACCCTATTTCATATGTTATTCTTCACTCCCATAGGCTTCTTCCCCACTGTAAGACCAGTCCCACAAAGTCTCTCCTCTCCGCAGGTTGTGCAGCCACCCCCGACATTCTGGCGCGGAGGTGGGAGCGGAGGAAAGTGCCAAATAAAGATTATTTAATGAAAACATATTTACCACTTGTTACCCTTCATTGTATAGCAGCACTGCTGATCCCTTGCAGCCTCTTTGCAGCCATTTCCCTTCCCTTGCAATCCCTTCAGCAGCTGTTGCATGTCATTTCTGTGGATGGGTTTCCTTGTGGTGACAACATTGGACCATGTCTCTGCAATGTGCATTGGCAGAGCTGCTCGTTGTCTCTATTGAATGAGCAAATGACAGGGTGACAACGCTGGAGAACAATCAGTAGGCAGTGTCACCCTATATGTATGAATAAAGAGCCTGCATTTAGGATGAACACATTGCTGTCCCCTTGTACGTATTATATATTTACAAAATATACCCAGAAACAGGGTTTTAAAAACAGCAGTGTTCTGTCAGGCAGAAGGGAATGTCTTCTTCTCAATGTAATGTCAGGGTTTCATAAGTGTTGGGTAACATGAAGAGTATCTGCACATGCTTCTCATTATAGTACAACGATCTGCTTTCTGAAGACCAGATAAAGCTCAGGACTCCCCCTAGTGGATTCAGTAGAAAGGGCAACAGCAGAAACTGCTTGGTGGGTTCAAGTTGTTCCAATTCCTGTCAATCCAACTTCTAAATGGCCAATATTAACCTCCTCCGCACATTTCTCCTTGTAGTTCATTCAGTGCCCCATGGAAAAAAATGTAGATGCCACATAGTGTGAAATCCTTAAAAACTTTTAATCATAGATTCTTTAAAAACTTACATTCAAGCCTTAATAGGCAGAGCTGTATAGTTCCTCCACTGGCATATAGTTCTCCCCCAGTGATCAGCTTGATGACATCAGCGTGTTAACTCCTCCTTGACATGTTTAGTCATGAAGACTTTTTCAAAAGGTAGTGAACACGCTGTCATCAATCCCTTTTTATATAGACTACACCTGCTGAATCTCACCTCGCCACTAGATGGCTTCTGAGTGATTGGGTCTTTCCAAGAGTAGGATGTAACTGACCCTCAATCCACCGATGACATGTGTGCCCATATCTAATAATAAAACTGTAACACAAAAAAAATATATATATAAAAAGTACATATAAAACCATAGATGGGTATATATACAAATATTTCGTGTGCACCTTACTGTATAACTGGTAACAAATTGTTGAGTGCGTTTGTCGTTTGTTTTGCTTTATATACAAATATAAACACATAAAGATACAGAATATGAGTGAATAAAATATAATGTACACTGAGTGGCCAGTTTATTATGACCAGCTGACGTTTGTAGGCAAATTAGCTATAATTTGGCGCTGAAGTTGCTAGAGTGCCAGACCATTATAAATAGGGAAGCAGGTTGTTTACCACGACAGTAGAAGTGATTTGTATCTGAAGATACGGGTAAACAACGCGATTTAACAGCCTATGAACGTGGGATGATTGTTGGCGCTCTGAGCCATGGAGCGAGTATCAGCAAAACAGCAGAATTCATTAAATATTCAAGAGCAGCTGTTGTTAAAGTGTTTAAAGACTGGACTGTCGGCCGAAAATCTGGGTCTGAACGTGCGAATTGTGGCCGTCAGCGACTAGTCAATGTTAGGGCAGAACGGAGAGTGGCAAGACTGGTACAAGACAACAGAAGGGCAACAGTGCAGTGTCAGATTCCTCGCATCACCTTTCAACATCTCGTGGAGTCACGAGGCGGCCCAACAAAGTCATAATAATCTGGCCACTCAGTGTATATTGCCTAAGAGTGGTGTTGGTATCAAGACATATAAAATATAAAAGAGCAGCGTATACATGCCTTTATGTACCAATATCATCCACATATGTATATAAAAATCTAACAATTCTGATCTCTTACTTGTATATATGTGGAGGTATCCATGGGAGGTACAAACCCCTACGAATCCATGTTAGTATTCTTAACTATTATTAATAAAACAGTTTAAATCCGATTCAATGTTTAGACCTTTGGGTTGCATCGTATCAAGTAGGAATATCCATTTAGTTTCATTTTGTGAAACCATTCTCATTCTGTTGGTCCCTCTCCAGTGTGTATAGACTCTATCTATACCATAAAATATGAGCCCTGTCGGGTCTTTATTGTGAGCATCTGTAAAATGTCTAGACACACTGTGTTTGTCAAACCCATTTCGAATATTAATGTGTTCTTTAATTCGAATTCTTAATTCCCTCTTGGTTCTACCCGCGTATTGGAGGCCACACGGACACTCCAACACGTAGGTGGCATGAGGTGTGGCATGAGACAAATTCCTTGATCTCAAAATGTCTTCCATTTGTACCCGAAATGAACTCCGATTTTTTCTTTAAACCATTTTTAATAAGATTTTTTTCTTATTAAAAACATACACACATATCTTCATTAGAAAACACACACATCAGATACACACTCATAAAGCACACACAACTATTAACAATAAAAATGAATAATAATTTAAAAAAATTGCCCCCTCTTCTGCTTACCTGTTTTGGGGTCCAGTGGGGCACGCGGGAATTATTCCGTGGTGGTCCAGTGGAGGATCAGTGTGATCTGCATCTCTGGCTGATGCAGACCATACTAATCGCTCCTGTCTGTGAGCAGCGGCATCATGAGGGAGCGTTCAGTTTTAGCAGCCTGGAATGCTGTGGCTGCCCCCCAGTCTCACCACCACCACCACCACCACCCGACTGCCCCCTAATTAGATGCCGCCTGAGACAACCACCTCAGAC